TTTTTCATGACTTATTCCTTCAGGACGTTGAGGATCATGGCTCTCCACAATTTCCTGTTCTTTTGTAGGTCCTAATAAAATTTGTCTTTTGTATCCTCCAAACCTTGTTTTTCAATCTATTTACAAACTCTTCATATGACTCATTCCTTCAGGACGTTGAGGATCATGGCTCTCCACAATTTCCTGTTCTTTGTAGCTCTTAATATATTTTCTCCGTTTGTGATCTTTCCTAATCCTTGTTCCGCCATCCATTTACTCAAGTTCGCTAGGGAGGCCATGCTTTTTGTCTCTATTCCCTCTTACTTACAATCTGTCTTGTGAGTATCAAATTTTCCAATCCCACTTTCCTCATGATGTACGCCAGAAATTTCAGCCCTCTCTTCCAGATGTAAAGGATAACTCTTCTACCTGTTTCTATTTTCTATACAAATAAAATACAGATTTTCTACTTCTATATTTAACATAGATTTTGATTAACACTTATACTTATTATTTATTATAATTATGAATTAAAATCTTTTTTATTAATATTTATAATTGTTTTTGTTAAAGATTTGTTTCCATTTTTTTAAACAACGTTCGCTGCCATATAGGAGGACTGATAATACGTAAGAGTTCAGAACTCTACACTTTTCTTTGTTTCTCTTGCTTCAAGTCTCTTCTTCATCTGTGAGGAAATTGTCCAGCATTCACTGCCATATAGAAGGACTGATATTACGTAACAGTTCAGTACGCATTTCTTTGTTTCTCTTGCTTCAAGTCTGTTCTTAATCTGTCAGGAGATTGTCCAGCATTCAGAGCCATATATATGGGCTGATATTATGTAACAGTTCAGTACTCTTTTCTTTTCTTCTCTTTCTTCAGGTCTCATCTTCATCTGTGAGGAGATTGTCCAGCATTCATTGCCATATAGAAGGACTGATATTACGTAACATTTCAATACTCCTTTCTCTGTTTAAGTTGCTTCAAGTCTCTTCTTCATCTGTGAGGAGATTGTCCAGCATTCACTGCCATATAGGAGGACTGATATTACGTAACAGTTCAGTACTCCTTTCTTTGTTTCTTTTGCTTCAAGTCTCTTCTTCCGTTGCGAAGAGATTGTCCAGCATTCACTGCCATATTGGAGGACTGATATTACGTAAGAGTTCAGTATTTTTTCTTTTTTTCTCTTTCTTCAAGTCTCTTCTTCATCTGTGAGGAGATTGTCCAGCATTCAGTGCCATATAGGAGGACTGATATTACGTAATAGTTCAGTACTCTTTTCTTTGTTTCTCTTGCTTCAAGTCTCATCTTCATCTGTGTGAATATTGTCCATCATTCACTGACATATATGAGGACTGATATTACGTCACAGTTCAGTACCCTTTTCTTTGTTTCCTCAAAAATTTTCTTACTTCTCAATACTTTGGTTTTATTTTTTTAACTTATTTCTTCTAAATCCTGTGTCATCATTCATTTCCTCAATCTCGCTAAGTAAGTCATGTGTTGTTTTCCTCTATCTCTTGCTCTCAATCCGTCCTGTGAGTTTCAGATTTTCCAAGCTTCCCTTCATCATTATGTACTCTAGAAATTTCAACTGTCTCCTCCTGATGATAAGTATAAATCTCGTTTTTAATTTCATTTTCCCCTAAAACTTCTTATTCTCAGCATCCTTCTGTAGAATCACTATTCTGTTGCTTTCGCGTCTTTTCTTCATCTGTGAGGACTGATATTACGTTTTAGTGTAATTGCTTCTCTGTAATTTTAAGCCTTTGCTGATAAATATTTAATAAATTCCTTTGGTGTCTCGATGTTGAAAATAAGTTAATAAGTAAATCTAGAATGCCGTAAATTTTTATAGGGAGCTTCAATAAAACCTAAAGTTTGAAAAAAAAGCCAAAAAGTATTTTGCGAAGGCGCACTACTAGATTGGCAGTAAGGTCTTAGCATTTTACTGTTGAATTACAAAGATGTCACCGGAATTTTCTCTCAAATCTAATACCCAGAACTCTTTCTTTCATCTGATTTGTTTTGTTTTACAGCATATCAACACTTCAGAGCTTTATTTAATTCCAACAAAATTTTTATTGATTGTAATATTTAAAAAAAAATATATTGCTGGTAATATTTTTTCAAAAATGTATTGCTGGTATTAAACCCTATTTTTACACTTTCATAGTGTTTTGGCCCCAGTTTGGGCGTTACCTATTTGCCCATAGCTGAGACCCTAAGAGACGCTACCATCCCGGATCAGGGTTGACCTGGCAACATCAGCAAGATGTGGTCCCACGCTCCTCAAAACCTCCTGATCAGAGGCCTTGTTGTTGGATATAGCTTATCGTCTTACCCAGGACTCGGATGTAGTTTATCGTCATATCCAGGATGCGGACGGGTTTGGGGGTTGACTATTTGTCCATAGCTGGGACCCTAACATGTGTTACCACCTCGGGTGTTACTACCTGAAGTTGGACCTGGGAACACCAGCAATCAAGTGGTGGTTCCATGCTCCTCAAAATATCCTGAACAAATCTTTGCTGTTGGACGGAGTTTATCGTCTTACCCAGGACGCGGGTGTAGTTTATCGTCATACTGCGGACGCTCAGAGGTCTTGCCTTTGGACGTACTTTATTGTCTTACCGAGGACGCGGATTTAGTTTATCATCTTACCCTGGATGTCGGATGTAGTTTATCGTCTTACCTAGGGCGCGGATGTAGTTTATGGTCAAACCCAGGGCGCGGATGTAGTTTATCGTCTTATCAAGGATGCCAGAAATAGTTTATCCTCTTACCCAGGACGGGGACGTGTTGGTGGGTTAGCTATTTGCCCATAGCTGGGGCTCTAACAGGTGCTACCACTCCGGGTGAGGGTGAACCTGGGAACAGCAGCAATTAAGAGTTAGTTTCACGCTCCTCAAAACTCCCTAATCAGAGTCCTTACTGTTGGATGTAGTTTATCGTCTTACCCAGGGCACCGATCTAGTTTATACTCTTACCCAAGGGGCGGATGTAGTTTATCGTCTTACACGGGATGCCGGATGTAGTTTATAGTCTTACCCATGGCGCAGATGTAGTTTGTCGTCAAGCCCAGGGCGCGGATGTAGTTTATCGTCTTACCCACGGCGCGGATGTAGTTTATCGTCTTACACAGAGGGCGGATGTAGTTTATCGTCAAGCCCAGGACGCGGATGTAGTTTATCGTCTTACCCATGGCGCGGATGTAGTTTATCGTCTTACCCAGGGCGCGGATGTAGTTTATCGTTTTACCCAGGACGCGTATGTAGTTTATCGTCTTACCCATGGCGCGGATGTAGTTTATCGTCTTACCCACGGCGCGGATGTAGTTTATCGTCTGACACAGGATGCCCGATATAGTTTATCGTCTGACACAGGATGCCAGATGTAGTTTATCGTCTTACCCATGTCGCGTATGTAGTTTATCGTCTTACCCTGGACGCGGATGTAGTTTATCGTCTTACCCAGGGCGCGTATGTAGTTTATCGTCTTACACAGGGCGCGGATGTAGTTTATCGTCTTACACAGGATGCCAGATGTAGTTTATCGTCTTACCCAAGGCGCGAACTCTCTCGTAGTTTCTTACTTCCACCCCACATACAATCTGCAAACATTTAAATGCAACGTCAATTTCATGTCTTCCTGTAATCTGTTCTTTAGTTGTTTTATCTCCATAATAATGTCTTCTTTTTCTCATATTTTTTCAGGTTCAATAAAACCTTGCATCTCATTGGCTTCGGGTGAAATGGCTGAAAAAATTAAATGAGGAATTATCATTAATATTTAATAATAACGAGACGTGCGAGAAAAGAAACTGTTAGCATAGAACTTACTGTTCTAGCAATTTCAACTGTAAAATGATGAGACCTAGCAGCCAATCTAGTACTGCACTTAAATTCAGAAAGTCTAGCCACCATAGAGGAAAGTTCATCGGAACAATTAGCATGAAAATATTTATGGGAAAAGGACTGAAGCTGAGATGCCAGGTCAGGTCCAATAATCAGTTTGATGAATAATCAAGAAATTATGTGAATATAAAGTGGGGGTTTAGTTCGGTATTAAAACCTCTAATTTATGCTGATCCCTCATTTTGTGGCCACGGTAGTTTCTATCCATTTCTATTCCAGAGAATGTAAATAAATCTAAAAGACATGTCTGTGTATCTAATCAGTATTTCATTGATTGATTGATTCATTTTCTATGGCTTATCAGCAAACAAGAAATTATAATATGGATATAAAGTGGGGGATCAATTCTATATTACAATCAATATATAAACTGATCTTTTTGAGGCCACGGCAGTTTCTATACATTTCTATTCCAGAGAATGTAAATAAATCTAAAAGACATGCCTGTGTAGCTAAAGAGAGTTCCACAAGCGAGAAGTGTAACAGAAGAAACTGCTAGCATAGAACTTACGCTTATAAGTAGCAATTGCAAAAGCGAAATGTTGAGACCTAACTGCCAATCTAGTACTTCGCTTAAGTTTATGAAGTCTAGGTACCAAAGAGGAAAACTGATCAGAACAATTACCATGAAAATATGTATAGAAAAATCACAGGCGGTGGGAAAGTGACTGAAGCCGTGATGACAGGTCAGGACCAATAACATTACAGATTCTTCTTGGATTTTATCAAGAATATATGGCAGGAGCACTAGACCAGATGTGAAAACAAAACGAATGGTATGTAAGAAAATACATAAAATAAATTACATAAATAAAAAATATGTAAGAAATATACATAAATAATTACAATTAAAATAAATTATTAAAAAAAAATCGAACAAATTTATGTCGCTAACCAATATATCAGAATCGTATCATCGTGTGTCAGCGTGTGAGGTCCTATCAATTGAATCCTTAAAACGGGACCGCCAGCCGTTCTAAACATATGATTTGATTACTGTGGTGAAACTATGTGTCTGACAAGACATATTAGTCAGCTGAAATGTTGCACATTGTACCATGAAGAAAAAAGCACGTATGAAAATGAAAACAGACGATAAAATTATAAAAGAATGATGTAGGGAAAATGAAGAAAGCCGAACGCAGACAACTGAAAATGGCGGCGAAAGAAAGAATGAAAACAGAAGAAAAAGTGAAAGAAATGAAGAAACGAAAAATGAAAGAAATCATATAAAGACAGAAAATTTAAGAAAAAAAGGAAGAAGATAATTAAATGGAAAAATGGCGAAAAAAGACGATGAAAATGAAAAGAAAAGAGAGAAAAAAAAATAAAGAAAATTGAAACAGTCACGAAATTGAAAAAGAAGGAGAAAAGAAGAAAACAGCATAAAAAGTGAAAAAGAATGAAAATGAAGAAAATCTAAGAAACTGAAAAAAGGATGAAAAAGATGAAAACCAAAAAATTAATAAGAAAGAAGGAAAGAAAATGAAGGAAATCGAAGAAGATAACAACATTGAAAAAGAAGAAAAAAGAAAACAAAAAGTGAAAAAGAAAGTGAGAAAGAAAGAAAATCGAAATAGAAAAAAATTGAAAAAAAAACCTCGAAGAAAACAGAATAAAAAGTGGAAAAGAAAGAAAGAAAATCAAGAAAATCGAAGCAGATAAGAAATAGTAAAAAAGGTGAAAAAAAAGTGAAAATAAAAGAAAGAAAATTGAAGGAAAAAAGAATGTGAAAAAAGATGAAAATAATGGAAACAGAACAAAAAATGAAAAAAAAAGAAAGAAAATCGAATCAGAGAAGAAATTGCAAAAAGAAGAAAACGATAAAAAAAAAAAAAAAATTAGTAAGAACTTACCAAAAGAGAGAGAGAGAGAGAAAAAAAGAAACAGACGATAAAAATAAAAATGGAAGCCGGAAAGAAAACAAAAAATAAACAAAAAAATCGAAGCAGAAACTGAAAAAAAAGAAAAGAAAATGACGAAAATAATATAAAGTAAAAAAAAGAAGAAAAAAAATTGTATACAGACAATAAGTTGGAAAAAAAAGAAGAAAGAAGGAAAACAAAAGATAAATGTAAAAAAAAGGAAAGAGGAAATCGAATGAAGACAATAAATTGAAAAAAAAGAAAAATGAAAACAGACGATAAAAATAAATGAAAAGAAAAAACAAAAAAACAAAATGGAGGAAATCAAATATTGACGATTAGATAAAAATAAAAGAAACTCAACAATTGCAGACTTAGACACACGACAAATCGAAATAATGGCGGACGGTCGCCCATCTTTAAATATTAGATGACTCCTCAACTTATTTAAAGCATCCATAATTTTAAAATATATTCGACTCAACAATTCATCGTTCTTTGTCTTCCTTTACTATTCTTTTCCATCCATTCCAATAATATTTACGAATATTTACACGAGTAAGAGTTAGCGGCTCGGACTGAGGTATCGGAGGTCCGTGTTCAAATCCGACTCGAGTTCATTACATTTACTTATGCGCTAATTTCCCTGGGAAAGGCACAAAGCGATGAATCTTTAATGGAGACATGGTAGAGTAATGATTAGTGACTCGGAATGAGGTTTCGAAGTTCAAATTCCAGTCGAATTCATTTACGCGCTAATTCCCTTGGGAAAAGATATGAATCTATCTCTTCACCCCAGCTATGGGTAAATAACAGGAGAGACTGGGTTCTATAGTATAGCTTTGGGTGCCAACTAGACTAGGAGAAGGAAAACATCCGCTGACTTGTAGGTCATGCCTCTTTAGGGAAAGGTTAGAAGGTAACGTCAAAAACATGTCTTTCTTGGAAAAAGGAATTGGCCTCCATACTGAAACGAACTTCGAGCCGCAACAGAAAATAACTTACCCCTCGGGCTTAGTATAATGGTTCGAAAAAACATTAGGAGATGGCATGGCGCCGTGGATCTATCTAATATCGGACCACTCACCCATGGGGGTACCATCTGCGACACTTTAGACGAAAACCAATAAACTCTTAATTAGGTCTGTTTGTTTTATTGTTGAAATAGGTAGCTGTAACCGTTCTGCCCTAAGGTTCTTTTCTCGCACTTCTCACCTGTGGAATTCACTTCCAATTTCTTACTTCCCTGTCAATTACAATCTTCAAAAATTTGAATGCAAACTCAATCGTTTTCTTCTATTTTTAAAAAATTAAATTCACCCCAAGCAAGGTAGTAAAGCCACCAAGACAAACTTATTAAAAACTACAAGGGAGAGGAGGGGTTGGAGGGCCATGATCGCCTACGTCATGAAAGAAGTGAAATTGACCAATATGTCATATCTTAACACGGTTGGATAAGGGATGGTGTTACAGAAATACAAGTGACTCCGGCTGAGGACGGTTACGTTGTACAGACACTCGACAAGATGGATTCATCGGAAAAAGGCTACAGACTGCATGGCGACCTCAGAATAGATCAGAGCCAATGTGGCACTAGGATTGGTCAGTTCGGACGTCGTGGACGTAATCTCATTGGTCTCGCGAAAGGCTCCATCTCTAATAGATCGAATGATGCTTTGATGAGAGCGGCTTTTGACTTTTTGATTTTGATAGCTGCTTGTGTTTGCGATGAAAAGATTGGGAACGTTATTTCATTCTTTCTTCGTTTCTTTCTTTGTTTCTTTCTTTCACGCCTCTCACTCTTTACTTTCTTTCATTCTTTTTTACATTCTTTCTTTCTTTCACGACATTCACTCTTTTCTTTCTTTTTTCTTTCCCATTTCTTTCTTTCTTTCAGTATATTTACTTTTTTTTCTGAATTTTTGTTTTCTTTGTCTTCATTCTTTGCCTAATTTCTTTATTCCTTTCTTTCTTACGATCTTTCTCTCTTTCTTTCAAGATATTCACACCTTTCTTTCTTTTTCCTTTCTTTCTTTTTTTCTTTCAGAACATTCGCTCTTTTCTTTCTTTTTTCTTTCTTTTTTCTTTCTTTCTTTTATAACATTCACACGTGACTTTTTTTATTTCTTCTTTTTTCTTTCGTTCCTTATTATCGATTTCTTTCTTTCTTTCTTTCTTTTTCTTTTACAGCATTCACTCTCTTTTTTCTTTTTCTTTCTTTTTTTTTGTCATTTGTATAATTTCTTTATTCCTTTTTTTCTTACGATCTTTCCTCTTTCTTTCACGACATTCACTCTTTTCTTTCTTTCTTTCTTTCTTTCTTTTTCTTTTACAGCATTCACTCACTTTTTTCTTTTTTTTTCTTTTTTTCGTCATTTGCATAATTTCTTTATTCCTTTCTTTCTTACGATCTTTCCTCTTTCTTTCACGACATTCACTCTTTTCTTTCTTTCTTTCTTTCTTTCTTTCATTCACGGCATAATTCTCTTTCTTTGCTTTTTCCTTCTGATTTCTTTCTTTGCTTCCGCACATTTACTCTTTTTTTACTTTCTTTCTTTAAATGATTCTTTTTTTATTTTTTGCTTTCATTTGAATAATTTATTACTTGCTTTCTTTCTCTCTTACTTTATTCTTTCTTTCTTTCTTTCTTTCTTTCTTTAATGATATTCACTTTTTCTTTCTTTCTTTGTCTCTTTCTTTCCGTTCATTTACTCTCTATTAACTTCCTTTCTTTTTTGATTCTTTTCTTTCTTTTTTATTTTCATTCTTTACATAATTCCATTTTTTCTTTCTTTCTTTTTTCTTTCTTTCACGACATTCACTCTTTCATTCTTTCTTTATTTCTTTCTTTCTTTCTTTCTTTCTTTCTTTCTTTCTATTCACTTTTTCTTTTTTTCCTTCCGATTTCTTTCTTTCTTTCAGTAAATCTATTCACTTTTTATTTCCTTTCTTTTTCCGAATTTTTCTTTCTTTTTTGTTCTCATAATTTCTTTATTCCTTTCTTTCTTTCGGATTTCTTCCTTTTTTTATGATTTCATTGCTTTCATTCTTTGAATAATTTGATGCGTTCTTTCTTTCTTTCTAATTTTGTTCTTTTTTTCTTTCTTTTTTCTTTTATTCATTCTTTTTTCTCTTTCTTTTTTTCTTTCTTTCCATTTCCTCTTTTTTTCTTTCTTTCATTTCTTTTTTCCTTTTTTTTTCTTTCTTTTCTTTTTTTCTTTCTTTTCTTTCTTTCTTTCTTTCTTTCTTTCTTTCTTTCTTTCTTTCTTTCTTAAACAGCCTTTTCTTACATTATATACTTTCTTTCTTTCTTTCTTAAACCGCCTCTAACTACTTTCTTTCTTTCTTTCTTTCTTTCTTTCTTTCTTTCTTTCTTAAACCGCATCTTCCTACTATATAATCTTTCTTTCTTTCATTCTTTCTTTCTTTCTTTCTTAAACCGCCTCTTCCTACTTTATATACTTTCTTTCTTTCTTTCTTTCTTTCTTAAACCGCATTTTCCTACTCTATATTCTTTCTTTCTTTCTTTCTTTCTTTCTTAAACAGCCTTTTCTTACATTATATACTTTCTTTCTTTCTTTCTTAAACAGCTTCTTCCTTCTTTCTTTCTTTCTTTCTTTCTTTCTTTCTTAAACCGCCTCTTCCTACACTATATTCTTTCTGTCTTTCTTTCTTTCTTTCTTTCTTTCTTTCTTTCTTTCTTTCTTAAACCGCCTCTTCCTACTTTATATACTTTCTTTCTTTCTTTCTTTCTTTCTTAAACCGCCTTTTCCTACTCTATATTCTTTCTTTCTTTCTTTCCTACTCTATATTCTTTCTTTCTTTCTTTCTTTCTTTCTTTCTTTCTTTCTTTCTTAAACCGCCTCTTCCTACTTTATATTTTTTCTTTCTTTTTTCTTTCTTTCTTAAACCGCCTCTTCCTACTCTATATTCTTTCTTTCTTTCTTTCTTTCTTTCTTTCTTTCTTTCTTTTCTTTCTTTCTTTCTTTCTTTCTTTCTTTCTTAAACCGCCTCTTCCTACTCTATATTCTTTCTTTCTTTCTTTCTTTCTTTCTTTCTTTCTTTCTTTCTTTCTTAAACCGCCTCTTCCTACTCTATATTCTTTCTTTCTTTCTTTAACCGCCTTTTCCTACTCTATATTCTTTCTTTCTTTCTTTCTTTCTTTCTTTCTTTAACCGCCTCTTTCTACTTAATATTCTTTCTTTCTTTCTTTCTTAAACCGCCTCTTCCTACTTTATACACTTTCTTTCTTTCTTTCTTTCTTTCTTTCTTTCTTTCTTTCTTAAACCGCCTCTTACTACTTTATATTTTTTCTTTCTTTCTTTCTTTATTACTTAAACCGCCTTTTCCTACTTTATATTCTTTCTTTCTTTCTTTCTTTCTTTCTTAAACCGCCTTTTCCTACTCAATATTCTTTCTTTCTTTCTTTCTTTCTTTCTTTCTTAAACCGCCTCTTCCTACTCTATATTCTTTATTTCTTTCTTTCTTTCTTTCTTTCTTTTTTTCTTTCTTTCTTTCTTTCTTTCTTTCTTTTTTCTTTCTTAAACTTGTCTATTTTCCTACTTTATATACTTTCTTTCTTTTTTTTCATTCTTTTTTTTTCTTAAACCCTTTTCCCTCTCTATATTCTTTCTTTCTTTCTTTTTTCTTTCTTAAACAGCCTTTTCTTACTTTATAAACTTTCTTCCTTTCTTTCTTAAACCGCCTCTTCCTACTTTCTTCTTTCTTTTCTTTCTTTCTTTTTTTCTTTCTTAAACCGCCTCTTCCTCCTCTATATTCTTTCTTTTCTTTCTTTTTTTTTTCTTTCTTTTTTTCTTTTCTTTTCTTACTTTTCTTTCTTTCTTAAACCGCCTCTTCTACTTTATATACTTTCTTTATTTCTTTCTATCTTTCTTTCTTTCTTTCTTTTTTTTTCTTAAGTAACTTTCTTATTTTCTATATTCTTTCTTTTTCTTTCTTTCCCTTAAACAGCCTTTTCTTTTATATACTTTCTTTCTTTCTTTCTTAACCGCCTCTTCCTTTTCTTTTTCTTTTTTATTTTTGTTTTTTTGAAAACCTATTTTTTCTCTATTTTCTTTCTTTCTTTCTTTTTTTTTTCTTTCTTTTTCTTTCTTTCTTAAACCGCCTCTTCCTACACCATATTCTTTCTTTTCTTTCTTTCTTTCTTTCTTTCTTAAACCGACTTTTCCTACTCTATATTCTTTCTTTCTTTCTTTCTTTCTTAAACAGCCTTTTCTTACTTTATATACTTTCTTTCTTTCTTTCTTAAACCGCCTCTCTTCCTTTCTTTTCTTTCTTTCTTTCTTTCTTTCTTTCTTCCTTTCTTTTCTTAAACCCGCTTCTTAAACTCTATATTCTTTCCTTTCTTTCTTTCTTTCGTTTCTTTCTTAAACCGCCTCTTCCTACTCTATATACTTTCTTTTCTTTCTTTCTTTTCTTTCTTTTCTTTCTTTTTTTAAAACCGCCTCTTCCTACTCTATATTCTTTTCTTTCTTTCTTTTCTTTCTTTTTTAAACCTTTTCTTCCTACTTTCTTTCTTTCTTTTCTTTCTTTTCTTTCTTTCTTTCTTTCTTAAACCGCCTCTTCCTACTCTATATTCTTTCTTTCTTTCTTTCTTTCTTTCTTTCTTTCTTTCTTTCTTTCTGTCTTAAACAGCCTTTTCTTACTTCATATACTTTCTTTCTTTCTTTCTTAAACCGCCTCTTCCTACTTTCTTTCTTTCTTTCTTTTTTCTTTCTTTCTTTCTTAAACCGCCTCTTCCTAGGTTTATATTCTTTTCTTTCTTTTCTTTCTTTCTTTCTTTCTTTCTTAAACTTTCCTCTTCTTTATTTTTTCTTTTTTTTTCTTTCTTTCTTAAACCGCCTTTTCCTTCTTTCTTTCTTTTTTCTTTCTTTCTTTCTTTCTTTCTTAAACCGCCTCTTCCTACTTTATATTCTTTCTTTCTTTCTTTCTTTCTTTCTTTCTTTCTTTCTTTCGCCTCTTCCTCTTCTTTCTTTTTCTTTCTTTCTTTTCTTTCTTTCTTTTTTCTTTCTTTCTTTCTTAAACCGCCTCTTTCCTATTTATATTCTTTTTTTCTTTCTTTCTTTTTTTTATTTTTTAAACCGCCTTTTCTTTCTTTATATTTTTTTTCTTTTTTCTTTCTTTTCTTTCTTTCTTTCTTTAAACCTCCTCTTCCTACTTTATATTTTCTTTCTTTCTTTTTTTTCTTTTTTTCTTCCGCCTTTTTCTTTCTTTCTTTCTTTCTTTCTTTCTTTTTCTTTCTTTCTTTCTTTCTTTCTCTTAAACTTTCTTTCTTTTCTTTTTTCTTTATATTCTTTTCTTTCTTTCTTTCTTTCTTTCCCCTTCTTTCTTTTTTTCTTTCTATTTTCTTTCTTTTCTTTTCTTTCTTTCTTTTTTTATATTTTTCTTTCTTTCTTTTCTTTCTTTTCTTTTTTTCTTTCTTTAACCGCCTTTCTTTATATTTTTCTTTTCTTTCTTTTTCTTTCTTTCTTCTTTTTTCTTTCTTTTTTTCTTAAACCGCCTCTTTTTTCTCTATATTCTTTCTTTCTTTCTTTTTCTTTCTTTTTTTCTTTCTTTCTTTCTTAAACAGCCTTTTCTTCATTTTATATTCTTTTTTCTTTCTTTCTTTTCTTTTCTTTTTTTCTTTATTTCTTTCTTTTCTTTTTCTTTTTCTTTCTTTCTTTTTTTTTTTTTCTTTTTTTTCTTTTTTCTTTCTTTTTTTTTTTCTTTTTTTCTTTCTTTCTTAAACCACCACTTCTTACTTTTTTATATTTCTTTCTTTTTTTTCTTTCTTTCTTAAATTTTCTTTTTCTTTCTTTATTTCTTTCTTTTTTCTTTTTTTTTTTTTCTTTCTTTTTTCTTTCTTTTTTCTTATTTTTTAATATTCATTTTTTCTTTCTTTCTTTCTTTCTTTTCTTTCTTTCTCCTTTTTCTTTCTTATTTTTTTTCTTTTTTTTCTTTCTTTTTTCTTTTTTCTTTCTTTTCTTTCTTTTTAAACCGCCTTTTTCCTATTTTTTATTTTTCTTTCTTTTCTTTCTTTTTCTTTCTTTTAAACAGCCTTTTCTTTTTCTTTTCTTTCATTTTTCTTTTTTTCACTCTTTCTTTTCTTTTATATTTCTTTCTTTCTTTTTTTTCTTTTTCTTTCTTTTCCCTTTTTAATATTCTTTCTTTCTTTCTTTCTTTCTTTCTTTCTTTTCTTTTCTTCTTTCTTTAACCGCCTCTTCTTACTTAATATTCTTTTCTTTTTCTTTCTTTCTTTCTTAAACCGCCTCTTCCCTATATTTCTTTTTCTTTCTTTCTTTCTTTCTTTCTTTCTTTTTTTTGTTTTCTTTCTTTCTTTCTTTCTTAAATTTTTTTTTTCTTTTTTTTTTATACTTTCTTTCTTTCTTTCTTTTTCTTTCTTTCTTAAACCGCTTTTTTCTTTCCTACTTTATTTCTTTCTTTTCTTTCTTTCTTTCTTCTTTTTTCTTTCTTTTCTTTTTTTTTTCTTTTACTTCTTTATTTTTTTTTTTCTTTCTTTCTTAAACTTTCCTCTTTCTTTTTTTTTTCTTTCTTTCTTTCTTTTTAACCGCCTCTTCCTACTTTATATTCTTTTCTTTCTTTCTTTCTTTCTTTCTTTCTTTCTTTCTTTCTTTCTTTCTTTCTTTCTTTCTTTCTTTCTTTCTTTTTCTTTTCTTTCTTTCTTAAAAGCCTCTTCCCTACTTTATATTCTTTCTTTTTTTTTCTTTCTTTCTTTCTTTCTTTCTTTAACCACCTCTTTCTACTTAATATTCTTTCTTTCTTTCTTTCTTTCTCTTTCTTTCTTTCTTTCTTTCTTTCTTAAACCGCCTCTTCCTACTTTATATTCTTTCTTTCTTTCTTTCTTTCTTTAACCGCCTCTTTCTACTTAATATTCTTTCTTTCTTTCTTTCTTTCTTTCTTAAACCGCCTCTTCCTACTTTATACTCTTTCTTTCTATCTTTCTTTTCGTTCTTTCTTTCTTTCTTTCTTTCTTTCTTTCTTTCTTTCTTTCTTTCTTAAAACGCCTCTTTTTTTTATATACTTTCTTTCTTTCTTTCTTTCTTTCTTTTCTTTCTTTTCGCCTCTTCTTTCTTTCTTTCTTTCTTTCTTTCTTTTTCTTTTCTTTCTTTTTCTTTCTTTCTTTCTTTTCTTCTTTTCTTTCTTTCTTAAACCGCCTCTTCCTAGTTTTATATTTTTTCTTTCTTTCTTTCTTTCTTTCTTTAAACCGCCTTTTCCTTCTCTTTATTCTTTCTTTCTTTCTTTCTTTCTTTCTTTCTTTCTTTAACCGCCTTTTCCTCTATATTCTTTCTTTTCTTTCTTTCTTTCTTTTTCTTTTCTTTCTTTCTTCTTTTTTTTCTTTTTTTCTTTCTATTCTTTTTCTTTCTTTCCGCCTTTCTTTCTTTCTTTTCTTTTTCTTTTCTTTTTTCTTTAAACCGCCTCTTCCTACTTTATATTATTTTTTTGTTTCTTTCTTTCTTTCTTTCTTTCTTAAACCCTCTTCCCTACTCTATATTCTTTCTTTCTTTCTTTTTTCTTTCTTTCTTTCTTTCTTTCTTTCTTAACCCCCTCCTTTTTCCTACTTTATATTCTTTCTTTCTTTTTCTTTCTTTCTTTTCTTTCTGTCTTAAACAGCCTTTTTCTTACTTTATTTACTTTCTTTCTTTCTTTCTAAACCGCCACTTCTTTCTTTCTTTCTTTCTTTCTTTCTTTCTTTCTTTAAAACGCCTTTTCCTTCTTCTTTATTTCTTTCTTTTTCTTTCTTTCTTTCTTTTGTTTCTTTCTTTCTTTTTCTTTCTTTCTTTAAACCCCCTCTTCCTACTTAATATTCTTTCTTTTTTTTTCTTTCTTTCTTTTTTCTTTCTTTCTTAAACCGCCTCTTCCCTTATAATTTATTTTCTTTCTTTCTTTCTTTCTTTCTTTTCTTTTTTTCTTTTCTTTCTTTATTTCTTTCTTTCTTTCTTTCTTTTCCTTTCTTTCTTTCTTTTTTCTCTCTTTTTTCTTTCTTTCTTTCTTTCTTTTTAACCGCCTTTTTCTTCTTAATATTCTTTCTTTCTTTCTTTCTTTCTTTCTTTCTTAAACCGCCTCTTCCCTACTTTTTTTCTTTCTTTCTTTCTTTCTTTCTTTCTTTCTTTCTTTTTTCTTTCTTTCTTAAACCGCCTCTTCCTACATTTATACTCTTTCTTTCTTTCTTTCTTTCTTTCTTTTCTTTCTTTTTTCTTTCTTAAACCGCCTTTTCC